GCGCGCGCGGGGGCTCTTTCCACCCTTTACTACTACTACTACCACTACTACTACTACTACTACTACTTCTACTACTACTACTACTACTACCTACTACTACTACTACTACTACTAAAATACAACTACTACTACACCAGTACTACTATAACTACTATTATTACTATTATTGTTATTTTACTATGCCTGGTACCATACCTACTATTTGCCCTTTAAGCCTGCGGGGGGCCGAAGGATTGTAGTTTTCGCTAGTAAAGTGCGCGCTGCCCTTAGCTGCTACGCACCTCCACTCCCAGGTCCTAGCCTTGGCCTGCCTGCTGCTGCTGTGGAACAGCTCGATTTCCTTCGATGAGGAGGTCAATTTTTAGGGATGGTTTCCTCAGAGGGTTCACGTATGGGATCGGAAGCTCTTAAGATTTACCAGGTGCTTTCCAGCCCTATGCTGTATAGAATTGCTAGCAATTTCCCAGCCGGCAGAAGAATCATCCAGGTTGTATTAGAGGTTCCCCAAGGAGAGAAGAAGATGAGATTATATTATGCCGGCCCAAGAACGTTCCCGGGGTTGTATACGGATTCTCTGATGTGCTATATTTTAGAGCTCTGCATGTGTAGGAAAACAGTATGTGTTCAACAACGGGTTGGGCAAATAGCTATATAGATATATAAGTATAATTCTATATATAGGGATGACATGTTGATTGTATTAGTGGGTCTAGGATATACATATATATATATGTATACATATATATATATATAGTCTGCCCCAACAACACTTCAAGCGCCCCAGGAATTTTCAGCAGCTTCTAAGATCGAGGATCCTATATAAACCTCCGAGCGCTATGTCCAGGATAGAAGCATGCCCATCAAATCTGTTCAGGAGCATGGCTATTACTTCATCGAGAGTTTCGCAGGCTTCGGGGCTGCTACACACGAGGTGAAGACGCTTTTTCCTAAGAAGAAGTCTGTGGCCATGGATATTCTCTACTCATCATCTCTGGACCTCACTAAGTCATGTGGTATGGCGTTACTGGGCTGAGAAGACAGTGGGCATGTTGTCTTACACATGCTGCCAGAACTCATGCATGGGCCCCTGTACTTAGTATCCAAGGGCGAGCCTAACTGCTGTCTTACGCGGCGATCAAAACGGTTTCCTTCACTGGCTTGGAGTTCTTTGCTCAAACTTCGTCACTACCAGCAGAGGCGCAACTGGAAGGTCCAAGATGAATCCAGAAGGATGCGGCGATGTCCCCTCGGTGGCCTATTCTAATTTACTATGCGCCCGGCTTCTTGGCCCCAATTTCTGAGAGTTATTCTAGATCTTCTCTGCGTGGGGGAGCAACGAATTGTCTACAAATGTACATAACTAAGGGTGGCACTCCTGTGCCTCCTCACGACTGCTTGTGGGGGATGCTGGGTCGTGGAGCAACCTCAATCAAGCCTTCTCTTTGAGACTAACTGGACGCAATATCTTTGCGGCAAGGTGAAGGTGGGGCTGCATAGCATCAACAGCAGTTGTTCCGAAGGTATGCTAGGAAATGTCTGAAATGCCTGACAAAGCAGCTTAGGTACACAGATGCCGATTCTGGATGTGGCATTATAAGAGTCGAACTGTGAAGCCTTCTACGGTATGGTCGCCAAGCACTGCCATAGGAACTTTCTGGCGTGGACGCCTGGTTAAAGCTGAGGTAGCGGCCGAGCGGGCTGCCCGAAATCCTGATGGCCGACAAGCTCCTTGCCGTGACTATCTTGATAGCAGCGGGAAGAGAAGGTTCCATGGAACCCCGGAACTCAAGCGGACTGGGTCTGGGCCTCACTATGCATGACCTTCCCCCTCTTCTATATTTATATCTCTAAGACTAAAAAAGCTTTTGCCTAAGGAAGTACACGCAGCAGTTCGGTGCCAACATTGCCCGGGAGCTAGAGAACCTTATTCAGCACTCCCCGCGACCGATTGCTCCAGCCCCTGAAGAAGATGCCTTGCAAATTTGGGCCTCATGGGAATGGGATGATGTATGGGAGTGTGCAAAGATGCCTCAACTTGTGGCATACCTCTATGGTGCCAAGCAGATTTGCATCCCTGCTGCTTGGAAGTCTCTACTACCTGAAGCATTGTAAATCTCTAGCTGTAATTAGGTCCCCAGCATAGAATAATTAAGAAGACGGCAGACTGCTGCCATCGGGAGTTCGCGGCACCAGGGCCGCAGTGCTGAAAATTAGACGTGGCAGTCGGGCTTTACTCCAGGATAGCAGGGCTAAGAGGGTACAAGCGCGCAATTGTCTTCAAGCGGGCTCAACACGATGTGGCCTTTGTTTTGTTTCTGTCAGCGAAATGTGGTTCGATATTGTTGGATGTAAGCCTCTTACAGTTAGTCCAGGTTTTGCTACTTGGGGGGGCAATGGTGTTGGAGAAGCCTTTTATACTTAGCGGAGGGTTTGCATCCAAGTAGCTTCTTGGGGGTAGCTCTCTGCAAGTCATCCAGGATTTGCTTATGGGGGGGCAATGCAGTTGGGGAAGCTTTTTATACTCAGTAAAGGGTTTGCGTTGACGTTCAGTCAGGGTTTTGCGTATGCATTGTTTATTGGGGGAAGCTGTGTGCCATCCATGCAGGTTTTGCTCATGGGGGAGCAATGCGGTTGGAGAAACCTTTTATGGTCAGGGTTTTGCTTCCACGTTGCTTATTGGGGGGAATAATTGCAAGCATGTTGTCCAGGTATTGCTGAAATGAGGCGCAATGTAATTGGATAAACCCTCACTCTCGTTCGTCAGGGTTTCATATATATATAT